GAGAACTAGGATTGTAACTCCTCTTTCGAACACTTCTTTTGCCAAGACTTGAATGCAGATTTCTGCTAACTGTAGAAGACCCTGAAGAAGCTCCACCTGTTACTGTATTCCCTTGGAGAAGATATAAAATTTTCACCTTAGTGCCCTGTAGCACCACAAGAGAATCCATCACAACCATTATTGCTCCACCTTCTGTTACAACCTTGTAACCTTTGGAGTTTAGCACACTTACTGAAATAAGATTCATCTTCAAATCCGCGCACATCTGACAATGTTCTTACCAACCCATTGTGCGTCTTGATCTAGACTATTCCAATTCCTAAAATTTTGAAAGCTTTCCTGCCCGCCGTCAAAATCGAACCACCTTTCACCTCTTTATAGGAAAGAATCCTACTGGGACATACATGAACGGAACAACAAGAATCAAGAATCCAACTATCGTTAAATGACATACCTGAACACAAGGTTGTCACGAGAACATAATCGTCACTTTCCGAATCACTCGTTATACCAGTTGCCACAGAAGCTGCTTCTTGAACCTTCTCTTTGCCATTTCCATTCTATGCCTTTAGTTTGGGACAGTGCTTGATGATATGCCCTATCTCGTGACAGTAGTAACATTCCATATTTTTATGAGATCTATATTTGCCCCTACTACCAGAACCCTTTGTCTCACTTTTGCCTATTTCAAATAGACCCTCGGCCTATTCATCTTCAATATTCATAGACACCTTTTTCCTCAACTCCTGAGAGTTCAATGAGGATTTAATATCCTCCATACTAATAGTGTCTTTTTCCATAGAGCAATGTGGTAACAAAATGCTCATAGGAAGGAGGCAAAGAATACAACAAAATAAGGGCTTGATCCTCGTCATCAATTTTAATATCAGTATTTTTCAAATCCATAATAATAGAATTGAAATTATCAATATGCTCCTTAAGAGGCATACCTTCCTTCATACGAAGGGTGTAGAGTTTCTGTTTTAGGTAAAGTCTGTTGGTGAGAGATTTCGTCATATACAGACTCTTCAATTTCAGCCACAATTTTGCCGTCGTGTCTTCATCAATAACTTCACGCAGCACCTCATCAGCTAGATTCAGAATAATTGCACTACGCGCCTTTAAATCGACCTCATCTTTGTCTTCATCAGACATAGTTGTTGGCAACTTGTCCTTCCCGAACAACACATTCTTTAGACCTTGCTGAGTCAGCAGGGCCCGCATCTTAATGCGCCAAAGACTGAAGCTAATTTTGCCATCAAATTTCTCAATCTCATATTTGGTCTACATCTCAAAAAACTCCTTAAAAAATTACTCGGTGAATAGTATCGTATTTGTGAACAGTATCCGAATAATATCTATGAACAGTATCGTATGTGTGAATAGTATTTGTACACACGAACCTGAGCTCTGATACCAGTTTGTTATGAAAAAAGGATCGAATATGAGTTTATGAGAACAAGAGAAATATAATGACAAGGAAAAAAAATAGGCACACACACAAACGAAACAAGAATTTATGTGGTTCGGTTATGCCTATATCCATGGGAATAAGACAGAATAATATTTCATTATAGAAATAAAGAGATACAAGGCAAAGTGGCTCACACCCAAAACTCAATTACACCCAAACTCTCTCACCCACTAACTGATATTACAAACTCACTCAATTAATTTGGGATGCTTCAACACCATGGAGGGCAAGGCTATTTATAGCCAAAATGGGACACCAAAATGAGGCTACTTGGTGACCACTCAAAAGACTTGCTGGGCACACATTCTTGGAGGCCAAGAATAAAGCTTGATGAACACATATACTTGGAGGCCAATAAGATGATGTCTTGGGTGATGCAAGCCTCAAATTGAGCCACATGTTCAACACACACACACACACACACACACACACACACACACACACATATATTAGACATGTAAGAATGGTACTAAGGGGCCTTTGGAAAATAAATTAATAATGCATATTATGATCGGTAGGCCCTTCTTGCACACGAAGGATATGTTATGGCCTCATTCATATTAGGTGAGAATTAGGTTTGATGGAAATTGTAGTTTTGCACATGGTTAATACATGCTTTGTTGGGATTTTTTTTTGGGGAAACTACACATAAGTAGAGTTAGGAGTTCAAAATAACAAAATCGTCTATTTTAAAAGTCTATAGATTTAAACAAAATAATTACAAATGCATCAAAAATTATTGTTAAAGTCCCAAATACCCTCTTCGTAATCTGACTTACTTTTTTGGTTGTCAGAAATATGCCTCTTTTAAGTGTTGCTTGTTTCCTTCTTTAATCAAATTGATTAATTATCAATATATATATATGTATATATATATATATATATATGTATGTATGTATGTATATATATGTATGTATGTATGTATATATATGTATGTATGTATGTATGTATATCAAATATATATTTTCCCTAATTATCTTTTCAAATTGATTTCATGTATATTTTTAGTGAGATCAAATTTACAAGATTATATAATAAAATAAAATAATCGTACAAATAGAAAACCTATATTATTTTGCGAATAACACAACGGGTATCACATGATTCCAACAAAATAATGTAGCAAGTACTAATATTTCATTCTCAAGACAATGGTTATCTTTATTATAAAATTAAGAAAAGAATTGAAAGAGTATTGCCTGCAACAATAAGTCATATGCCTTATATCATAAAATCTTATTACAATTTTTATGTTTCAAAAAGTGTTTTGTGTCTTTAATTAGACTTTTACACCATAACATTGGTACTGTTTATTGGTAGGTTTATCTTGGTAAGTTTATTTTATTTTGCTTTTTTTTATTTTATTTTATTCCATAATTTCGTAAGTTTGGACTCACTACAAATTATGCATGACATCACTTTGAAAAGATAATTGAAAACTTTCTTATATATATTGAAAATTAAGCAAGGAAACAACAACTCAACAACAAAAAAACAAGTTACATTACAAAGAGGGTATTTGCGACTTTAATAATAATTCTTGATGCATTTATAATTATTTTGTTTAAATCGATCAAATTAAAAAATATATTTTTAAAATAGATCATTTTGTTATTTAGAACTTCTAACTCAACTTATACATAATTTTTCCATTTGTTTTAGTGGGGCGAAAACTTTGGGTAAAAGAAGAAGAAGTTTAGTGGGGCCAACAGGGTCAACAATTTGTGAACTGTCTAATTTTGAGCAAGACTAATGCATCATTTCTAGGTGTTACATGGCAAGACACACTTTATAGTTTTTTACAACACACCTTTTCTTGTTTGTATAAGAGTTGAGCAGGGGAGTTATTGTCACATTTGAAACATGCTTAATTATGCTCGGTGCTTGTCCCAGAGGTCCCACTTGGTTAATGGGGTACAATGGGGTTCTGTAATGTGGCCCAATTCCATTTACACACCTCGAACTTCTTCTTAAGTGGTGGAACCTTTTGGATAAGTTACATGCGATAAAATGTTAAACATTTATTATATTGACCATTCATAAATCCATTGTCAAGAGTGACTTATTGTTTAATAAAAAAAAGAGAGACTTATTGCGTAAAAAGTTAGTACTCTGTAATACTTTTATATTATAATAACTTATTATATTACATTTTATATAAAATAGGAATTTTTTTTATCATTTTATAAAATTTAGTGAAAAGAAAATACAATGAAGTCCTCCAAACCTGAAGAGAGGTAATGTAATCCATTCTTTATATATATTGACAATCGTTCACCTCGACTAATCCCACTAGTGATGTCCTCCAAACAAGAGGAGAGGATAATGTAATTTATTCTTTATATATATAGCATTGACAATATAAATTATAAAGTAATTCCTTATAATTTATACCCATCCATTTATACCTAATTATTCTTTCATTCAGATTCGATACGGGACAAATTTTCCTTTGCAATATTCTCCTTCGCCCGAACTCGCAAAGCCCTCATTGAGGTCGGGCCACCCTGCATACTTGGTTACCTTCTGAACTGGACACTTGGAGTGGTACCGGATCAAGGTTTAAGTCTGATTCTGATACCAACTATAACAGGTGAACACTTATCTATTTATTTAAAAACTTAAATTATTGGACAATGTTATATACTCACCTATTTATACTTAGTCACTCTCGTTTGAATTCGCATAACAAATCTCCCCTTTTAACCCCTATCCATTCAAAACATGTGAAACATGTGGTACCTTGTACAGTATTAGATAGGACAATATTCATCCATCATTTTTATATTGCTTTAATTCATTAAATATTTGCATCACCTTCATTATATTATTTAAACAAAAAACATAGCAGATTTGCAAATTACTTTATATTATCCATTAAAATGTTATGGTCATTTGGATGTAAGAGAAAAGTTGCTTCTACATACCATAAAGGAAATTTAGGATGTTTTGCTAAATTTGATAGTTTTGTTTTATATATTTTCAATATTAATTTCTTTTTTTTTTTCTTTTAAGTGATATAAATAATCATTAATAATATTTGCAAATATTATTCTTTGATATAGACATAAGTGAGACAAGTTTCTTGCAAATATTATGTATTTGAACTGGCACAAAATATATTATATAAGTATTATTATTAATTTTTTATAACTTATTTTGGGAACAACAGAATTGACATTGAATAACTCAATTGATTTTGAACCCGCACGCAATGATTTTTAAAAATTTGTTACACTGAAGTTAAATGACATTTAATTTTTATACTGAACATTGATAATCATACAAACTCAAAAATTACACTACATAGAACGTACTTATTATTGGCCATAAACAAATAATAAAAAAAATAAAGGCAGGCCTTTGTTCGAAATACTACGTAGTTATTAATTATAAATATCTCCCGCCGTTATATCCGATTAAACAGTTCTAACACTGCAGAGTCTGTAGACCCCACAGTATAATTAAAAACAAAAAGGGGAAAAACTTTTTACAGCCCTTTATCTTCTTAAACCAAAAAGTATACAGAGATTTCACACCCTACCCACAGTCACAAACTAAGCACTTCTCAGACTTTCTCTCCCTGTCATCAGAACTCTCGGCTACGTAACACAGATGAAGGTTTTCTCATACTTCAAAAGAGCCATCCATGGCCGCCCTGCTTACTCTGGCCTTCTGGCTATCTTCACTCTCAGGTTTGCTGGTTCCCCCCTTCAGTTTCATTTCATATCTTGCATCATTTACTAACCCCACATTTGATTTCACTTTCATTTTGCTTTTACTTACAGATTTTTGTGTTCTATTTTTATTTTATATTCTTGTTTGGAACACCCATTTTTGCTTTTGCGGTTTGAAATTCCTGAATATGATGATTGTTTTGTTTCTGTTTGAGTAATTTCCACTGCATTGTTGTTCCATGTTGATCTATCTCTGTAATGGTTAAAGAACATTCTATTTTGACGTGCTTATGAAATTGAGTAATGATCTTCATTCAACATGACATGAAATTTTCTTAAAAACTACTCCGTAATTAATTTGATAATTTTTCTTTAGGAGCAAGATATTATTAGGGCTCTAGACTTTAGAACAAGGAAGCGATCATATGATCCACCATGAGAAGTTGATCCAACTCATATTTTTCATATCTAGATGACTGAAATATCGATTAAGCCGATTCATTGTAAAATTAGGCTCCTGGTTGAAGTGATTGAGAAAAGCACATGACTGATATGTGTATGAGTCTTTACATAGAGCCCGAAAGCAGAAAATGATTCATCTAGCAGACTCAGAATAGTAGGGACTAGGGCTTGTTGGGTTGAGTTATATAAAAATATATGCTACTTCATGGCCCAATTGCAATGTGCAAATTCCTGGCAAGTGACAATTGACGGTAACATATATCATGACACACTGGTTCACTGAGAAGTTAGTTGATTTTATGACAATGGATCTTTATAAAATATTTCAGGACATAATCCATTAATAAGAATTTAGTTAACACTGAAAGAAAATGAAAACCTGCTATCATTAATCTACTATCGAAATTCATGATTAAATTTATGTGGTTTTATTTGTTGTAGTTAATTGTGCTCTCTTTACATTATAACTCCTCTGGTGTCTTTATAATCAAGAAGTTTCTTGAACTTGACAAGTCTGGCAAATGGTGGGAAAATTTCATAAACTCATTTCCTAAAAAATTAGTCAAGTGTGCAACCACTCTTCTGTTGGGGCAGTGAGAATGTGATAAGAATTATGTGATTTCTACACTATATTATGGCTGGTTAAAAGAGAAGAAATTCGAAAACCAATTTCCTATCTTGTAAAGTATATAGGAGACCAAGGCTCAGAGGTGACATATGACACTTCACTAATGTCACCACTTACCAGATTCTCCCCAGAATTAGTTGAATAACTGTACAATGGAGGCTACAAACCGATTATAATTGTTATAGGAGTAATTTAAACTCATGCTCTTGAATGATGCTATAGCGACACATGTCCTTGAGAATTTCAAAAACAATAACTTACTTTTCCATTCATCCCTGAATGACATGATGAGGTCTCCTTGTCCAAAAATGAGGAGTGAAGCTTTGATATATGAGGAAAAGATGTTGCCCTTGTATAAGTAATACTAATTAGTTCAACACTCAAGAGAGGACCTTCATATGTTGGTAGAGAATCCATTTTCTGTCAATACGCTGGTTATTCTATACTCAAAGCTTCCTCCTTGAGATAATAATGGCTTGATTGGATGGCCAAAGTCTTACATGATAAATTTTGTCACAACAATTTTTTCTCTTCTCACGTATCTTTGGAAGGAGGGCAAATATATTAGGTTTACCTTGTAAGCATGTTTCATAACTATTTAATTGACTCACTTAACAAAAAATGATAGGTGATAGCATTATGGGATGAATGACAAGATAGAGTGCATGTTTGTGGCGCTAGTCCATTCCCTCTAATTCCCTGAAAATCAGTGTCCCCCTGATTAACAATGTGACCGTGTGACCTTTCTCTTCGATAGTTCATCATTCTCGTGTGACCATTCCATAGAATGTGATAAACTAGGTTCTTCCACTAGGTTTGCCATTAACATGGAAGATCTCTTAGCTTATTGATTTCCTCTCCTCGCTTTACCATATTTCCTGCTTTTGAGTTTGTTCCTGTCTTCACTAGTAGATTGTATTTCGTAACTATTATGTTGATTATTGCAGTAGCGGAGGTTTCGTGGCATACTCAGAATCACAGTCAGACAGAGGCAGACAGAGTGTTGAGCTTAATGAAACGGAACCCAAGAAGAAGAGGGTGGTGGTGCTTGGAACAGGATGGGCTGGTACAAGTTTTCTAAAGGACTTGGATGTTTCATCATATGATGTTCAGGTGGTTTCCCCTTGTAATTATTTCGCATTTACACCATTGTTGCCTAGCGTCACATGTGGAACAGTTGAGGCACGAAGTATTGTAGAGCCAGTTCGGAATATAATAAAGAAGGTAAATGTGACTTTATATATTGGATACTTGCAACAGTTCTTGTGTTGAACAAACTGGTATATGAAATTTATATTTATTTGTTCTCGTCATTGGTCATTAGTCATGTTGTCTTGATATACTTCACAAGGAAGATGAAAACAAATTGACTTTACAGAAATTTTGGTGTCTTTCTACTGCATGTTGTCTGAAAGGATATTCTCATACGCCCTTAATGCTCACTCTCTACTGGTATCACATTGTTTATATTTTGTTTACAATGACTATTTTTATGGCTCTGTGGTTATTGCAAATTTTTTGTCCTAGGGTTTCCTTGACGGCTTGACCTTGCTCTATGGAAATTCAAATTATATTTTCACTTTATTAAAAAAAAAAAAAATGTTGTTAATATGTTTCCCTTTTTTCTTCAATTGACAGAGAAACGGAGAAATTCAATTTTGGGAAGCAGACTGTCTCAAGATTGATGCAGCAAACAAAAAAGTTTTATGCCGGTCTAATCTAGATGAAAAATTAGCTGGAACTAATGAGTTTCTTCTAGAATATGACTATTTAATTATTGCAGTAGGAGCTCAAGTAAACACTTTCAACACCTCTGGCGTCTTGGAACATTGCCATTTTCTGAAGGTAGAGTCTTCCATGTTTCAATTAGAATGAGAATACAGCATTTGAACATTTATATTATGTTACAGGGTGGGTGCTTATATTATAGATTATAGCTAGACTCCTTGGATGACTTGTGCATCTTGAAAATTGATAATTTGATCAGCATTTTCTGTTAAGGCAATAATATGAATAAAATTCTATTAGCATTCCTTTCTTAATTGTTTTGTCAGAAAAGAAGCTAAGACATCTCATGCAGGAAGTAGAGGATGCTCAAAAGATCCGCAAGGGCATAATAGATTGCTTTGAAAAGGCTGTCCTTCCAGGCTTGAGTGAAGAAGAGAGGAGGACAAATCTCCATTTTGTAATTGTGGGAGGGGGTCCAACCGGTGTGGAATTTGCTGCAGAGCTGCATGACTTTCTCAACGAAGATTTAGTCAAGTTATATCCTACAGTTAAAGATCTAGTAAAAATTTCATTGATCCAATCTGGAGATCATATCCTGAACACGTAAAGATTTAGCTTCTCTAATTTATTTGTACATTTCTTTTTAAACATATTTTAATGTAGTATCATGGCATCTTTCTAAAAATAATATTTCACTTTTTGCTTGTTCCAAATGTGGTTTTAGTGAAATTTTCAGTCCATAACTTTTGTAAAATATTTTGAGGTTTTCTTATATGTCATGATCCCAAACCCATATTCTAGCTTTATGGGATGTCAGTTTTTATTTATTTACTTTGGTAAGGGTCAGTTTTTTATTTCTGTGTGCACTTTAAAGTACTGTTTTTCTTTTTCTGGCCAATTGTACTTTTGGCCTTTTCTTTTGCCTTGTGTTTAACTAGATATGAACTTAGATGATGTGGAATGACAAAATCAGCAGCCAACCAAAGGACAGGGTTGATGGTTTCTTGAGTACCTTCTGTAATCTAGTATACCTATTCTCATCGCAATTCATATTTTCTTAATTCAATGTTTTAGGCTTAAGAAATCATACCATCTTAACTGTCTAGAGATTGTTTCTCTTGGAAAAACATGTGACATCATAGGTCATCATTCTTTCCTCAAAGCCTAAATTTCTGTCCTATTTGGCCTTCTTGAATATATAGCGGCTGCACTTAAACAAATCACTCTCTGAGAGGATGTTAGTTGACTTTTGTTACACATTACCAAACCATTTTTGTCAACCTTCTTGTTTTTTTGTTTTTTGTTTTTTTATCTACAGTTGGTGCTCACTGTGGCTTCTCATCTTCAGCTATCAGGTCATTGATCTAGTCTTTCCTGTTGTCATCTTAACATCCTCACTCTGCTATGCTCATCTTTGGACTTGTTGTTCCTTAGCTGCCAAACATTCTTTACCATAAGTAAAGATGTGCATTGATATCAACAAAAATTAAATAAGAGGGAGTTTGCTACCCTTTATTGGACTTCGGTACTTAACCAGGAAGAGAGAGAAAGAGAGAGAGAGAGAGATACTTCAGTGCATGTAACTCCTTTTACATCATACTTTCTCCAACCTGCAAGTCTGTAAGTGCAAAGGCGAGATCATGACTGGAAAACTCAGACGATCTTGTATTTCATGTCTCTGTAGATTCGATGAAAGGATTAGTTCATTTGCTGAGCAGAAATTTCAAAGAGATGGTATTGACATTTTAATAGGATGTCGGGTTGTCAGTATTTCTGATAAACTGATCAACATGAAGATTAAATCAACTGGAGAGGTTTCCTCAATACCCCATGGGATGGTGGTGTGGTCGACTGGCATTGGGACCCGTCCAGTTGTGAGGGACTTGATGGAACAAATTGGCCAGGTTTGTTGCATTATAAACCCTTAAATTTAATAGGCTGCACAATTTTAAATCAGTGATCGCTGCTTGCTTAATAAACAGTAATCATTTTGCAATGTACACGAACTTGCAAATTTTATGACACACTCTTTACTTACTTAGAATTAATTGAAGATTTACAACAACTGAATTTTGTATGCTTAATCAGTTATAATTAGGTATTCTTGCAATTTTTATGACACTCTTTACACAGGGTCATAGACGTGTTCTTGCAACTGATGAATGGTTGAGAGTAAAGGGCTGTGATGATGTGTATGCCCTTGGTGATTGTGCCACTATAGATCAACGTAAAATCATGGTATGTAAGCCTTTATCCTGTTTATTCCTTTTGGTTATTTAAAGGTGGTGGTAGATCTATTCAAAATGTAGTTTCAAATAACCACAGATTCAGCCAACCTTTTCTGGATTACAGCGGTGATACCTAGTTCAATGCAGGTAATTTGATTGAGGTGGGGGTGAGTTGGGCTGGTTGGCACCAAGCTGTCTTGTCTTTGTAAACTTCTAGAGACCACCTACATGCTTTTTTGAACTATGCATTGTCACTTCACTTATGGGGGTAGTGGTTAGGATATGTTACAAAATGACTGTGTGGTGCTTTCTACCATTCCACCCCCCTTACCATTTTTAAAAAGTTCTATTGTTAATACACTGGATAGAATTGTTTAACATCAAAATTTCTCAAAAATATTACTTAACAGGACAGCCAATATTTATATATTTCTTACTAATTTTGATAGAGCCAAAAAGGGGAAAAAAAAAATAGCATATCTCATAAAACACAGAAAATGATAATAATAGCAGTAGTGGTAATTAATTATGAGTGGTGGTTCTAAATCCTGTCACGAAACCCCATCTCAGAGCATATTTTGCACATTCAACCCTGTGACATCTTTAAAATTTTATAATTTTTAATTGTTTTTATTAGTTACATTGTTTTTGTGAAATTTTTTTATGTAGTGCTGCATTTGGATGAATTCTTTTTCAATATTATATGCAGTTCAATTCATTCTGTTTTGTAGGAAGATATCTTGAACATATTTAAGGCTGCTGATATAGACAACTCTGGCACCCTAACTATTGAAGAATTTAAAAATGTAATTGAAGACATCCTCATAAGGTACCCCCAAGTGGAACACTATCTAAAAAGCCAGCATCTGTCGGATGTGACAGATCTTTTGAAGGCGTTGAAGGGAAATGATAGAGATGGAGTGGATATCGAAGGTTTTAAAGCAGCCCTTTGTCATGTGGATTCGCAGTTGAAGAGTTTTCCAGCAACTGCTCAGGTACTCGTCTTTCATTCTCTTAGAAGATCTAAAATTCCATAATGTTCTATGGCTTTCTGCTGCCAAGAAGAATGTATCAACAACTACTGTAAGTGGTGATATTTTGGAATTTTAGGTTGCTGCACAACAAGGTGCATATCTTTCCAGGTGCTTTAACCGTAGGAAGCAGTGTGCAAGTAATCCAGAAGGTCCTCTCCATTTCAGAGGTTCTGGGCGTCATCAGTTTCGACCCTTCCGGTATACCATACTATTTGCAGCGTTCATCCTTTTATAAGCATTCATTGTTTCCTATTCCATCTTTAAAAATCTTATATTTTATAGTTATACCAAAAAATAAATATAGTACATACTTCAGTTGATAAATTATTGGTGGATAATTTGTATGTTGTTTACATATTAGTTTTATAGTACTGTTATTTTCAGGCAAAATGCAAAAAACCTCCCGAAACTATCAACTTTTGGCAACTTACTTCCATGTACTTCTAGTTTGGCAACAAATTTTCTTGAACTTGCTGAAGAATTTCCAATCTACCCCCCTCTCATAACGAATCTGATCATCTCGATCGAGGTTAAAGTATTCAATTGGTGTAAATAGGGTTTGGAACTAGGGCATCAGCTCTTCAGGGGATGGAATTTCAACTTCAAAACTTATAAATTGTAGCAATTCCATCTGTGATTCCAAATTTAAATAGAGCACCGTAAACTATTCCGAGAACATTTTAGTCGAAATAAAAAGGTAAATAGGAATTTTTTAACTCATTTGTCGAGTGAAGTAGACATGATGTCTCTTTCAGCAAACTGCAGGGTAGGAATGCAAATCTTTGAGTAATTTCAGGGGCTCTTTTTGCATTTTACCCTTTTTTTAATGTCCCAATCTTTTTGTAGGAGTGTAATAGATCATTGCAGTGGCACATCTAGTGAAGCTTTTATTGTAATTATCTAGCAAAATTATAAGATTCGAATCAATAAGTTTTCCATATGTAAGTTTGTTTTCAGCAGATTTGCCTTTCGGTTTTCCTGCATTACTATTGCATATCAAAGCATGCCAGCTGATATTAAATGGCACTCTGCACTTAAGACCGTGCATGCCATCGACAATCATGTGCTGCAAGGACAATAGTATAACAATTCCTATTAATAACTTGGTGCACACAATGGAAAATTGTTTGAGTTCCTCTTCACATTTCCTTTTCCCTTTGATAACCCATGGACCTGCCGATAACTTTTGATGACTAGGTACAAGCATTTGGGGCAGTTTGCTCCCTTGGGTGGCGAGCAGGCAGCAGCAGAACTGCCAGGAGACTGGGTTTCCTTGGGACACAGCACACAGTGGCTATGGTATTCTGTATATGCAAGGTGATCATTTGATTTCCTGTAGAGCATGAAATTTTTGTTCCAATAAGTGAATCTAATTCAGTTGAATCACTTTTTTACATTCAGCAAGCAAGTAAGCTGGCGCACAAGGATGTTAGTGGTGTCTGATTGGACAAGGCGATTCATTTTCGGGAGAGATTCAAGTCGTATTTGAGGCAAAAACTTGGTGAACTATATAGTTTATCATGAGACATACAGATTCTCCAATTGCACCTTCCAAGTCCTGATGTATTTTTTCATCCCCTCTTTCTCTCTATGGATGTGTACATTATGAATCTATGATATATGGTGGTTGTGGAAGCTGGTGGCACATGCTGCTACCACTGCTGTTACAAAATTACTACTATATTTCGGATTATTACTAATGAACTGAATGTTTAATTGTTTATGGTGCTAGCGACACAATTGCTGAAATTAAAGGATTGTGATGCTTTATTTCAAAGTATTGTGGTTAGTATTGTGAACTTTTTATTATTTTCAATGCAGAGAGCTTCTCGGTGCTTGCTCTTGTTGATTGGGCTACTTCGTTAGTAATAGCCACAGAGACTGTGAATTGAAAAATAGATTTAAATAATGTAAATCTTCAATCTTCTAGTTAACAACTAAAACTTGAAAATTAAAATTTTAAGATACGAAGATCCGAGTTTTACTTGATCCTGTGTCCATCCGTGCGGGGGACACTTCACTCCCACCATTTTGAATCTTCATGAACTAGACCACCAAAACCTAAATTTGGAATTTTCTCCGTCTTCAATAATTTGAGACAATTTATACACACTACCCTAGTTAAATTTCCATGTTGAGGGCAATCAATCAAGGAACCATAAAAGGGCACACTTCTTTATAGAGTAGGTGATTGCATGAATTAAGGACTTATTTACCCATATTTATTCACACGGCTAAACTAGTTTAGGATTGATTTTGACTCAGAATGATGATGATGAACGATGGTGATTGCGCGTTGCCACTAAACAGGCAGATTTACTACCACTCCTAGGTTGTTCACGAGCATATTCTGATCTAATGTGGATTGAACGAGAATTAAGTTAGAATATACTTGTAAACCATATTAGCCAGATGTTTCGATAGTTCAGTGAATTAGTGCTTTCGGTGAATTGTAGAGTGCCAAATTTTGCAATAAACCGGCCTGTTCAGTGGCGCGTACAGTTCAATTAGGATTGAATGGAAGCCCGTGATGAGTTTGATTAGGATTGAATGGAAGCCCGTGATGAGTTTGATCGAACAAATAAGGAATGGGAACATCATGAACTCCCTTCAATTGTTCCATTGAGAGTTGGTCAAACCAATCATCCCACGCAGGGTACTTAAGCCTTCTCATTCTTCCATGTAAACAGGAATGGAGCGAGTTAAGGCGGGCACGTGCCGCCTGAGCATGCCAAATCAACAAATGAAGAAAGAAATTTACTCAACTACATTTTGTTTTAACATATGTACGAATATCACTCTATATGATATACTTTATACAATTTATTATGAGCAATATTTTTCTTCCACTTTCCTCCAATTGGAGTCCATCTACCTTTTTCTTTTAAAGAAAATGACAAGAATGACCTTGAATTCATTAATGCACAATTTATAATGTCATAATTACCCTTTATACAACTTTTACTTTTTTTACCTTCTTTACTATTTTTTCCCTTTCTTTTTGTTTTTTGTTTTTTTGGATGTCCTCTCAAAGAAAATAATTTATTATATAACAATAATTTTATTTTTAACAATCAAAAAAGATAATTTATTCAACAAAGTTAGCTTTTTTTTTTCATCAAAAAGAGATAACTTTTTTTTTTGGGTAATTTTTTATGGGTCCTATCAAAAGAAAGAGATAATTTATTCAATATAGATATATATTTTTTTAATTTTTTTTTACTTTTTAATTTTTTTATTTTTGGGATCTTGACAATAGAGATACTTTTTTCAATATAAATACCATCTATTATTTTATTCTCCTAAATTGTTTCCTTAATTATTATATTTTATATCTGTAAATTAATTTCATTCCAAAAATATCTCTCACTCTCTCTCTCTCTCTCTATATACTCTTATATTGTAAATTTATTTTATGCTGAAAATAATACTTCATATAGCAACATTTATGCCATCTCTTAATGAACCACTAAATGACTAAATGACCAAAGCTTAGTCAACCTATAAATGAGTTATTCATGATTAAGTAGATGAAAACTCAAACATCAAGCTATGCAACTATTAGTAACGCTGACTAAAATTAGGATAAATTATACTCAGACTTTCTGAGGTTAAGTCATTTATCACCTAGATAAAGATTTTGATTTTAGAGTGATTTCATATTTCATTTACACCCTAAATGGCAATTTGCATTGATGTCAAAGTACTTTTAGGTATAAAACGACTATGTTACCCTTTGACCTCATTATTGATTATTTTTTTTTAACCAAACTACCCAGACACCCATCAATTCTACTCATCCCTCAACCCCACCCCACCCCCCCCCCCCCCCAAAAAAAAAAAAAAAAAAAAAAAAAAACCTCTTTTCATAGTTCATTTATTCAAACATTCTTGCTTTCATCAAAACCCTAGGACACTAAAAGGACAACCCTAAACCAAGAGGTGACATATTCACTACAGGGGAGCTATACCAGTATACCAGAGACTCATCCTCAGCAACCTAAAACACGTCCTCCCTCTCTTCTTCCTTCAATATCTCATTCTTCATCTCATAGTTGATTTCATGGATCTTGTAGAAATTGAGAGGGAGATAGAGCCTGCTGTAGAAATTGTCCAAATTAATTCACTATGATACTTCCTTGTCGACCGGATTATAGAATTTCGTTTAATTTTTAATTTTTAATTTTTAATTTATTATTATTATTTTTTCATTTGTTGGAAATATATATTTAGCAGTGAATTTACAAATTTTCTAAATCAAATATGATCTCTATTAGGAATCTGTGATATAGTATTGATCTTTTAGTACATCTTTGTACCCATATAGTTAGAAATTATTTTTGGAAAATTCAAAGAAATCATTTGGATTATGTCAGAGCTTGATGGGGACGCGAAAGCAGATTGGATCTTAGAGTGCTTGAATATATATATATATATATATATATATATATATATATAGGGGCTTTTTGTCATTTAAGATTGCAGATGTTTTGTATTAAAAAATTTAGTGTAAAATGGTCAATTAGCATATATTAGAGGCTAAAAAGTAAATTGGGGTGTAAGTAAAAATTAAAACCAAAATCTTTGGGCCTGTTTGATTTTTCAATTCAGCGCTGAATGCATAAGACGGTAAGTGATTTTTAAAACTTATCGCAGAACACGATAAGTGATTGGGTTTAAAAAATAAATTTCTAATGACTACGCTACCCTCATATAATCGCATTATCTCTTTTAGGGTTTCTGTCTGCGATTTCTCTAGGGCCTCTTTACAAATTCATGAAAAATATTTTACCTATAATATTTTAAATACGACAAATAGCCTTTTGGTTATATTTAAATTGATTCATATATATTTAGTTGCTTGTTGTTGCTAATGAAAATGAATTACATGGAACAAATTCCAAAAAAAATAAAAAACATAATTCTACCTAATATATTTTAAACTATTACCATTCATATTGATTCACTATATATAGAAAATAATTATTTATATAAGAATTTTATTCAATTTCAAGTACTTTCTTTAATATTGTTAACACCATTTTTATACCCTACATAAATATTATGTAATTATTTATATTTTAAACCATTACCATTCTATTGATTCACGATAAATATTTTGTAATTATTTATATTTTAAACTGTTACCATTCATATTCATATTGATTCACGATATATATTATGTAATTATTTATATTTTAAACTGTTACCATTCATATTCATATAAAACTGTTATGAGTATCAGATATTAAGGGCAAAAATATAATATGTACAACTTTCAGACTTCAGCTTTTGTATACAACAAACAATCTTAATAAAATTCAGCGCTTAAAATTAAAACGTTATCAAACAAATTTTCAAATTAATACATTCAGTGCTTAAAGTTTCAGCGCTTAAAATTCAGTACTTGAAATTTTGAGTGCTTAATTTTCAGTTTTATCAAACAGCACCTTAATCTACTTGAAAAATGATCTAACATCAAGAGGTCTAAGTATAATTTACCCCTAAAATTATCAGTTGACAAAATAAAATTAATCTTCTTTTCAAATGAACAATAACTTTGTTGATTTTAAATTAATTTTTGTATAATACCTCTCAAAAATAAGATTTTAAATACAGCATGGCTTAGTTGGACATTCATTTTTTTTAATCTAAAATTAAAGGATAATGATGGCACTTGGTAATGAGTATTGAAAAACAAAAATAATATTACACACACTAATTATATTCAATATAAATGTGGAGAAATATAATTAATAATTTTCGTAAATACCTAGAACACCCTCTGTAATGACCCGGATTTTTCGGATAAATTTTTTCCGTTGTCTTTATACTTCTGAGTTTGGTTTCTTGTCGATCAGTGTCGTCTCGAGTGCTCTGGAGTGATTTCCGAGACTTTTTTCTGTAGATTGACAACTTCCTTTGAGGACCGAGTTATTCCCACATTTTTCGTTTTTCGACACTATTCACTTTTTGTCTTTTTCCCTATTCCGTCTTTTCCTCATTTGTCACTCTGTTTGCGTAACCACACTTCTTGTGTTCGGAGTTGGTTTCTGACTTCACGTATCTTCATTCCCAATGATTTCTATGAGATACGTATCTTTACTTTCGTGAGAAAATACTTTAGTTGTTCCCGGTGTCCATAGGGGCATAAATGCAAAGTTCTTTAGAAACTTTTTCTTTTCTTGGGGTGTTTTTCATAAATATCTTTTGAAGATATTTTATTTCAGGGGTATCTAAGAAAATATCTTTTGGAAGATATTTTCATTCTGGGGCAGTTTCGCAGTTTTCACTTTTTGGAAAGGGTCATTGTGCAATTAATGAAAGTTGTTGCTCAATGCCTTGTTTTGAGCTTGAATCCTCGTATGGTATTCATTTTCACATTTTGTCGAGTCGTGAACTCTTAGAATTTCCTCCTGAACGATATTTTCCAGTTTCAAGGTTTTTGGCCCCGATTTGCGCCAAACTTGTTTTGGGCATAACTCCTTGCTCGGGACTCAGTTTTCGACGTCGTTTCTTCTGTTATTTATATTTTCTCATTTGGAATCTTTTTCGTTCACAGAGTTTTGCCGTTTGAGCGCGTCTGCTTAGATTTCACTTTTCCGGACCCGGCGAGGCCCGTTCGAGATACTTTTTGAGTTTTTCCATAAATAGGGGGCCTTTAAGTGAAAAATCAGATTTTTGCTCTCTCTCTCCTCTCTCTTGGCCAGATCTAGAGGCAGCCATGGCTGCCATCTTCTCTCTCTTCTTTTGAGCTTCTTCCCTTCAATGAAATACTTT